GATTGTTTGTTTTATGTATTAGCCTTGTGTTTGGTGGCTAATACATGGAATTTCGTATCATTTATCACTTCAGTAGAGCGTAAGCATCAATACATTTGAGGTTAATCTCCCATCAGATTCACTGCATAATACTGTAGTGAAATCCAAGAACAGACATGCTATTATGAATTTATTCACCAGTCATAGTAAACTCCGACCCCCCAGACAATGAAGGGATTTGGTCGGGATTTAGTTGGGATTAGTGGCTTTTTGTCATCAAATTCTGTCCCAACCATGTTGGGAATTTGTTGGTTTTGTCATTCTGCCAAATTACGCTAGTACATTTTGCACTATTTTGTCCAATAGAATCCCCAGATTCTACCATGTGACAAAGGTCAAAATGGCATGCTCGAATGGAAATCGAGAGATATTTTATAAATATAAATATGCTATAATTCACAAATTACACTAGTTTGATATTAAGAGATAAATTTGCTCACACGACTTTTCCCCAAGGAGGTGGGGCATTTTTTGTCTTTTGCAGTTTTGCTAGAAAATTTTGTCAGTTTTGGTAACTGTTCAAAGCCAATCCCCACCTATATCCCGGGGTTGGCATTTACTTTGACTGGTGCATTACATGTAACTGCAGGTATTAATACATTAATATGTGCTGACAACATTGTCACCAATCCACACTGGAATCGACACTGGGTTTACAGAAATCTTTATACGTGCATACATCTAGAATGAACACTACTTAAAACTCATCATCTTGGGCCTTGGCACATCGCCACACAAACAAATAAACTGAAAGTACATTTTGACTCCTTGTATAAATAAGACATTATTGATCAGTATTGACGAATAGATCAAGATTCAAGATAACCTTGAGGACATTAATAAACAACCGCTGATCTTTCTATATATATTATATCTAAACAGCATATGTAAATATAAATGAAAGATATAAAGCCATCCTTACCTGATTTATTCGTGAAAATCCAACAAACTGCATGTAAATAATTAAGCTCGCATTGCTCGAGATATTGCACGCAATTGAATACAAAATAAGTTTGACTGCCCCCCTCGTTTCAAAAAAACGTCCTGACTCCCTAATTATTTCACCGTAAATGCGAAATCCCGACAGACACAAAATCGAGATTTTGTCAATACATAGATCGCGCGAAAGACTGGGTCGAGTGGACTCTGGAGACATCATAACACGTCAAGAATAGTGTGTTGCCTCGCTGCGCTCGGCAGCAATTAAAATCAATGATCTCAATCAGTGGTGGATCCAGAAAAGTT